AGAAATATCCTGTCTCAGAGTGACGCTGAAAAACTAGTTCATGCATTTATTACTTCCAGGCTGGACTACTGCAATTCATTATTATCAGGATGTCTAACTTTCTGATTTCAGACTGTTTAGCTGATCAGATGTGATGAAATAATAGAAACCAGAACGCTGCTGGTATCACAGCTCCTGTGGATGAATGTAGCACACAGACCTCAGTCTGGGTCCTGCAGATGCAGCTCTGTGAATGTGAAAATTATTTGGTAATGTTTATTTTTCATCACTCACAATAATTTATATCTTCCTCCAACCTGGACTACTCACGTAAATTTTATCATTAATCTAAGACCCGCGTGATAAAATATAATAACCCGCTGTCATAACACCAGCTCTGTGAAGTTACTGAGCTTAAAGCAGAAATCAAAGAAGCTGCTGCAGGAAGATTCACTGCCCTGATGGTTTCTGGACCTTATTTTGAATGTAGTTTGCTGAATAGTGCAGAATTTCATTTTATTAGAGGGATGAGTGAGAGCAGCATCAGTCAGCCAATCACTGATCAGCGTGTTGGAGAGGAACCTTCATCGCAGCTTTATAAGGACAATCAGGCATGCAGCAGGAAATCCCCCACTCAGTACACACACACACACACAGTGAAATACCAGCGGGTTCCCACAGGCAGCAGATTTCCATGTGAGGACAATAAAGTCTCATCTGCAGTCTGAGAAGAATATATCTCTGCTGCTGATGTCGTTTCACTTAGCGAGTTTGTATCTGCAGGTCACATGACTCCTCACAGTGTAGGAGGAAGTGTTCATATCCTTTCAAAATAAAGAACTGCCAAACTACAACGTGTATCGATCCATCAGAGTTTGAATTCCTGCGCTGGAAACAGCAGTTTTATGTTTTTCTGTTTAACGTGAAGGTCAGAGCGTCATGGTTCATAACCTCAGCTGAAGGAGAGCAATGTTCACAAACTTTAATTTTCTTTGTAAAAGTAGAGGATTCTGAAACTCCCAAACTAGAGACGCTGGGTCTGCTGCAGCTGTTGTGCAGAACTTTACCAAATTACTTTACCAGCGATGGATGGATGGGTGAAGTGATGGATGGAGAAATGGATAGAGTGATGAAGGATGGATGAAAGGATGAAGTGATGAAGGATGGATGGAGGGATGATGGACGGATTGATGGATGAATGCATGGATGGATGGTTGGATGGAATGATAGATGAAGTGATGAAGGATGGATGGGTGGAGGGCTGATGGATGGGTAGATGGATTTATTTGTCACTTGTGTAAGAAGGAAAGATGAAACCAAAGCCGGCGTTTCAGATATTCAGATTTCTGTTTCTTCACCTCCTCTGCCCCCGCTCGTTTCATCAACCCTGGAAACACCCCAGCATGGAAATATGATTAT